TCTATTACTTGCTTCCATATAGTTCAGATTAATCTTTTCCTTCTTTTTGACCCTTTCAAACAAATGGACATATTGGCCCATTTAAGGGGTAATTGCTTTTCTCTTTGGAACATACTTCTTAAAATGACTACATGTGGGAGGCTCTGCGTTCTGGGTGACAAAGGTTGGCTGGAGTGGCAAACCTTGTTTCCCCTCCCTATTTTTCATCACCTTCATTTTCTACCCTCTCAAATAATAAAATCTTTTTTAAACTATAGAAGGAGTAAAAATTGTAGCCACTTTAAATTAGAATGCACATTTTTAGTTTTTGATGCCAGCTGGAAGATGTAAATTTGTCATTGTTTTCTGCCTGTTTCATCTTTTCTTTCCTTTTCTGCATTGTCATAATTCTCTAAGTTTATTATTTTTCTCTCTTATTCTCTCTCAGTAAGTCTTTGTGCTCCCTGTGGAACCAGAAGAAATTGTACAAGGGGTTTGGATATTTCGCCAACTGTTTTCTATAATTAAAAGTGAATTGGAAATGTGAACACTGCCTCTGTTCTGTCGATGCTTCCGGGGGCTAGTCTAATAGAAACACGAAAAGGTGGGGAAAAAAAATCTGGAGATAGGAAGAGAAAATGGAAGCATGCTATTCAGGGTAAAGGGTTTCTAATGGAACATAAACCCTTAGGCCTTTGGGTATTTATTCCAAATTTGTTCTTTTATTTGGGCCAGAAGATTATTTGTTAAGTTTTATCCAGAATCAAACCAGTAATACTGAAGTGATAGTTCTTGTCACTCTTAATTGGCCTCATCCATGTTAATTATCTTCCCAGGTGAAGTAATCAAGAGCAGAAACCTAAATAGAACTGTTTGGAATCTGAAAGAGATTTTTATTTAAATTCTCATGTTCTAAGCAGGACCAGTAAATAGATTACAACTCCTGTATCAGCCTTAGTTAACTGGTTGCCCAGAGTACAGAACTAAGAGGATTACAAGGACTAGAAGAGTGATCCTCTTAACATATTGCAGCATTGTTAGACCCTAATTGAGCAGCTAACCAGCCCTTAACTTTGATATTACTTTTACTTAAACTCTCTCTTAACTATTGCATCTTTAGTGCATAGACCTATGCCTGGCATATTTTAAACTCTCAATAGGTGTTTGATAAATGATTGAATGATGAATGAATGAAATGAGAACCTTATAAACATTCAGGTTTTATATATATTTTTTACTTTTATCAGCAAGTTCTAAAGTTAGGTACTTCTTATACCTTGATATTGAGATAGGCTAGGCATAGGGTGTATTCAATACACTGGCCACTTACCTGTGGGAGGAAGAGCCAGGGCTAGCGTGGATAAATGACGTATATAGATCTGTAACCAGCCACTTCATGCTTAATATTCTAGTAGCTTTTTTAAATCACAAGAATTGGCAGTAGATTTTTAGATAAACAGTTGGCAGAGATGACCTCTAAAGTATCTTCTAATTTTCATGTTTCATCTATAATTTAACTTTTTTACTTTCTGTGTACTTAAATAGATACTATACGGTAGCAAAATAGCCTCAAAAATACATCAAAGAAGAAAAGAAAGAGAAATAGTTTTCTTGTTTATTGAAATATCAACTGGAACCATATGAGAATAGATGTAAAGAAGGAATTGATTCTTTGGACTTCCAATGGCATATTCAGAAGCTACCAGAATAGTTAGCTTTTCCAATAACAGTATGTCCTTATTTATTTGTTTGCTTAATATAGCACAATGATAAATATATCATGAAGACTGTTTCTCTCAAGATCATGCCTTTTCTGCATGTTCTTAAATTTGGCAAAACATTTCTTTTGGCCTGATGTTTAGTTCCTAACACTCCTTTCTGTATATCAAAAACAAAAACCCTCATTTCGCCCTGGCTAGTTTGGCTCAGTGGATATATCGTTGGGCTGTGGACTGAAGGGTCCCAAGTTTGATTTGTCAAGGGCATATGCCTGGGTTGCCACTCAATCCCCAGTAGGGGGCATGTAGGAGGCAGCCAATCAGTGGTTTTCTTTCATCATTGATGTTTCTATCTCTCTCTCCCTCTCCCTTCCTCTCTGAAATCAATAAAAATATATTTTAAAAAACTCATTTCATTAAAATCATCAGTGACACCGCTCTCCCCAAATTACTATGACCTGGTTTTGTACTATGATCCCTGCCCCACCAGCTGACTCCTCTGCTGACTTTTTCCCCAATTACTTTGTCCATACCATGTAAAACTCTGTATGCCTTTCCTTCTTATCTTCTTTTTAGGGGGGATTGTTAGTTTCACTCTACTTGGTATTCAGTTTCTGAACATGTTGTTTTTCTGGTTGCTGTGTAGCAGAGCATATTGTTCAAGTGGGTCATTTGTCACTTAGATGATTTTAGATGATGACTTGGGGTTTGGAATTATAGGAGTAGGTCTAAGATTATTAAAAGTGAGATTTTACTAAATGTTTAGCATTCAGAATATTTTTTCAGCAAAGTAGGAAGAGTTTGGGGATGTGTTTAACATATAGGCAATAAGGGGTGTATTTGTTTGCTAGAGCTGCCATAACAAAGTCCCACAGACTGGGTAGATAAAAAAACAAATTTATTTCCTCAGAGTTTTGGAGTCCAAGATCAAGGTGTTAACAGGGTTGGGTTGTTGTTGTTTTTTCTTTCAAATTTTTATTTACTAATATAAGGAGAGCAAGAGATAGATAGAGAGAGAGAGAGAGAGAGAGAGGAAGAGAGAGAGAGAGAGAGAAGGGGGGGCAGAGAGAGAAAAAAGCATCCATTTGTTGTTCTACTTATTTGTGCATTCATATGTTGCTTCTTGTATATGCCCTGCCCAGGGATCAAACCTGCAACCTTGATACATCAGGACTATGCTCTAACCAACCAAGCTACCTGGCGAGAGCAAGGGTTGTTTTTTCTGAGTCCTCTCCTGTGTCTTCTGTCTTCCCTCCGGGCCTGTCTGAGTCCTAATCTTTCCATGTAAGGATACTGGTCCTACTGGATGTGGGTCTAATTCAGTGACCTCAGTTTACCTAATTATCTCTTTAAAGACCCTGCCTCCAAATACAGTCAGATTTGAGGGTTAGGACTTCAACATATGAATGGAGGGTGCACAGTTCAGCTCAAACTCTAATCTCGTGACTGAATGGTGTTTAATGGAAATATGAAATTAAGAATAATTCCCTTATAGGATAGTACTGAGAGGTAAAAGAAGTCTTGTAGGTGAAGATTTTAAAAACTCCAAATTCCTACTAAAAAGAATGATGATGTCATCATTATTGTTACATAACATAACAGTAAATGTAGTTGTTATTATAATACTAGAGGCCCAGTGCATGGATTTCTGCAACGGTGGGGTCTGTCAGCCTAGCCTGTGGGGATAGGACATCCCCTGAGGGATCCTGGATTGTGAGAGGGTGGTTCTTGGGTGATGTATCCTGGAATCGGGCTCCCTCTTCTCTGGTTCAGGGTGCATCACCCAAGAACTGCAGCTGCCAAGTCACCGCAGCTCGGCAGCTCCTGCATTGAGTGTATGCCCCCTGGTGGTGATTGCACATCATAGCTACAGGTCAGACGGTCGAATGGCCGGATGGTCGCTTAGGCTTTTATATACTTAGATGTTATTTGAAATGACCGAATCCGTGTTAGAAATGAAAAATGTTTGAACTTATGATACCTTTTCCTGGAGTCTCCAGTGCATGTGGAGGAGGAAATCAATGCTAGGGCGGGAGGGTGTCAGCTGAGTCTTGAGGGGTCTGAAGAGCAGGCCTTTTTGCCAAGCCTATTGAGAGTGAAAGTCTTAATGCGAGATGAAGGAAAAAGTAAATGGTATCTTAAATGATTGACTGTCATGGATTAAATGTCAGAAAAATGAGTAAAAGGAACATTGTGTTCTTTTCCTAACAATAGATATCAAAATGTTTTACCAAACATTATTTCACACCTTCAGTAAAAAGCCTGTATCAACTAGTAAGGTATTAACATTGTAAGTGAATGCCAGTTATGTCATTCAGACTACTTACAATTTCCTAAATATATTTTAAGTGTTTTCCACAAAGTTATTCTGAGTGAGAGCTGCAGATATAGGTAATCTTATTACTCATAGTATCATCTTAAGTAGAATTTTAGAAAATGTCTACTTTAAAGGTGTAATCCTTAATTTATTTTCTTCTACCCCAAATAAGTAATTCATTAACCTTTCATTGTTTTAGGAGCTAGAGCATCTGAAGCCAATTAAGTATTTTACATTATAGTTCATTGTGAACAAGCAAATAGTTTTCAGTCCCCTTTCCCCAAACTGCTATAATTTAGGGATCGTGTAGCTAATTATACAGCTCTAGAGCCAGTTTGGAGAGGGATAAAACCTCTGTCAAACCCATCTGCTTTAGCTGCTGTGCTGGGGACTCTAGGGGGCATGGGGTCTCTCTGGAGGTGTTTAGGGCTTAAATGTTTGTTGAATTAGGCAATTCCATACTACTTGTAGTTTCACTGAATGGGATTTAAAACAAATCTTAGCCCAGCCAGTGTGGCTCAGTGGTTGATTGTGGACCTATGAAACAGGAGGTCGTCATGGTTCGATTCCAGGTCTGGGCACATGCCTGGATTGCAGGCTTGATCCCCAATGGGGAACGTGCAGGAGGCAGCCAATCAACAATTCTCTCTCATCATTGATGTTTCTCTCTCCCTCTCCCTTCCTCTCTGAAATAATTAAAATATATTTTAAAAACAAACCAATTTTAAAGGATAAGAAGTGGTTACTTTTTAAAAAATATTTTAGAGTTCTAAATTGGGAATACAACCTGCTCTGATAATAAAGGAGTTGGTTCTAGTTTACCTTAGATGATATGTTTATTTCAGTGGTAGAGATTTTAGGCTCTGCATTTTTCTCCTTTTGCCCTTGTCATCAAGCTTTTGACGATTTCCCAAGGTAGGCTTCTGTGATTTCCTTCATCTTTGTCAAAACCATGGATGACACCTCTAATGGAGAGAAGCATTTTGTCTCTCCCTTGTATTTTACTTGGACCTTGGGCCTGCCAGCATCATTCACCACCATGAAAGGCCAATGCTTCAGGTCAGATTGGACAACAGCATCATCAAATCTATGTCCAATCAAGCGATTGGCATCAAAGACTGTGTTGGTAGGATTCATTGCTACTTGATTCATTTCAGCATCACTGATCAATTACTCAGTATCAGTAAAGGCAACATAACTTGGGTTGGTTCAGTTTCCCTGATCGTTGGCAATTATTTCCACTTTTCCATGCTGGAATACACCCACACAAGAGTAGGTGGTGCCAAGATCAATGCCCACTGCAGGTCCCTTAGACATGGTTGCGGGTGTGCGCACACGGCTTGCACAGACCTGACCGGAACTGGTGGCCCCATGTTCAATCACGAGAATTCTTCAGACCTAACTCATGTGAACGAGGGCAACTCGGTGAAAAGGAAAGAGTAGTTGAGAATGGGACTAGGAGGCTTGATTTCTGATATCAGATCTACCACCAGTTGGGTTTGTGACCTTGGAGCAAGTAAGCTAATCTCTCTGGGCCTCAACATGCTCATCCATAAGATGAGTGAGTTAAATGGATTGTAACTATGGTAACTGCTCTAAATTATATATAGTCAGAAAATAGGCCTGTAGAAAATCCACACTTCCTCTAAGTTCCTCATAGAGTTCTCAGTGTTTGCTGTAGTCCAGACTTTGGGATCATTTTCTCCCAGTTTGGTTCCTTTAGCTTGCTGATGTCATTGGTGCAGAAATAGAAAACTGGTACAAAGCCATTTATCCAGTTCTGGGTGCCAGAATATGTATGATGAGATCCTATGTTTCTCTTTTACTTTGAAAGACTAAAGCTGACTCAAACAGTAGTCACTAGCTACTTAAACTTTGGGTATAGCAATGACTTATATTTCCTGTTCATTTTGTGTTGGTTTTCAGCTTTCTCGATGTGCTTGTTTCCTTCTCAGTGCCTTTTCTCTTCCCTCTGGGTAAATGATTATAAGGAGCATCTGAAATTTTGGCAGAAGTAAGTGCCAGTTGTACCATGCTGAGGTAGCAATTTTAGAGGCAGTGTCCTTTGCAAATGTGTCTTTTTATGAAGATATAATTTTTACATGATTCTTTGCATCAGCAGTTTTGCCATTTGACATCATTTGAAAAGCCTGTTGGGTATGTGATCCAATTCTCTGTTATTCAGCTGTGTTACCCTTTTCCTCCCTCCTCTCCTCCAGGAAACTTTATTTTCTCCAGCTTGGAAAAGTGTGTGCGGTACAGTGAGAAATTCTGGCCACTTGGGTACTGCCTTTTCATCAGCATCTTTGAGAAAGAGGCTGATGTGGAGGCTGAGAAAGTATTCATAGAAATACTGCTTTTCTCAAGGCTGCTTATAGCTGCCTGTGATTTTGTTAAAGCAGAATGCAGACTAAATAAGATTTAAGGAAGAAGATAACACATTAAAAAGTGTCTCTCCCGGACAGCCCAGGGGAAATCAAGGCTAGCCGAACCAGGCAAGAATGGGGCAAAGCCATGTGCTCAAGAGGAGGCTTCCTCAGGAGAGGTCTGTGCTGTTTCCTTCCAGTGTGTTCCTGTCAGGGCAAAGCCAAGTGGGGGCCTGTCTGGCACAGATGGTGGCTAAGGAAATACCAGGCTACTATGATAAGAGCATGGACTTTGGAGTCAGACAGACGTGGATTTCATTTCTGAGGGAGTCTGGGAGCTTTGGTTGTAAGCTACAGAAACCAATTGTGGCAACTTAAATGGAAAGGAGGTGGATTGGAATGTATTAACAGGACACTGAGTAATTCATAGAATTAGTGAGGATTCAAATAGTGAGTCTTCAAGGATAGGAACCAGGGTGGCGCTGGGCTCTAGGACAGCCCCTCCAAGGTGGTGCCACCGAATGACTTAAAAGAAAGCACTTTTTGTCCCTGTGACGTTTTACTCAAGATCCAAATCCCTGAGAGAGAGATGATCGGTCTCTTTCAAAGACCTCAGAGACTTGGGTAATGCCTTGAGTTCCTCAGCTTTGCACTAAGAAAACGGAAGGAAATCAGTCTGCTGAAGAAACAAGACCCAGTTCATAGCTGTGCTCACGGGGGCATTAGATAGGAGGTTCCTGTGAAGCTCTTCACATATGCCTTATCGTTAGGAAGTCCTCACTCTGCGACTTTTGGCTATGCCAATTACATGTTCTTTCTTTTTTTAAAATATGTTTTTATTGATTTCAGAGGGGAGGGGAGAGAGAGAGAGAGAGAGAGAGAGAGAGAGAGAGAGAGAAACAACAGAGATGAGAGAGAATCATCAATCGACTGCCTCCTGCACACCTGCCACTGGGGATTGAGCCCGAAACCTGGGCATATACCCGGACTGAGAATTGAACTGTGACCACCTGGTTCATAGGTTGACGCTCAACCATTGAGTCACGCCAGCCAGGCTCAATTACATTTTCTTAGCAGTTGTTTATTGAAGGGTGACCCCCGCACATGTCAGTTTGCTCAGGACACCCCCAGTTTATGCCTTTATACCTTCCAAATTAACATTGTCTTGGATTTCTCATTTAAAAAGTTTCCAAGATTTAATTAGTTTACTTTTCCTTTGAATTGTATTGCTTTTTAAAAGATATATGTTTATTGATTTCAGAGAGGAAGAGAGAAGGAGAGGGAGAGATAGAAATGTCATTAATGAGAGAGAATCATTGATTGGCTGCCTCCTGCATGCCCTACACTGGGGATTGAGCCCCCAACCTAGGCATGTGCCCTAACCAGGAATCAAACCAATTACCTCTTGGTTCATGGGTTGACGCTCAACCACTAAGCCACACCGGCTGGCAAATTGTATTGATTTTTATATGTTGTTTTTGACACTATTGCAGATGTTCCCCATTCCCTCCCCCCACAAAGCCCTCCCCACACTATTATCTGTGACCATGGGCTATGCATACATGTTCTTTAATCCCTTCATTTACTGATTTTGGAGAGGGAGAGAGAGAGAGAGAGAAAGAGAGAGAGACACATGGAGTTTCTTTTCCACCCATTCATGCATTCACTGGTTGTAGCTTTGTACTTCCCTCTCTGCTCTGGTGGCCTCTAGTAGTATATGAGATACATGAGCAGTGAACTGCATTCTCTATGAAATCTTAATCTGATCAACAATAACCTTCCTGTCTTTCCCCAAGCCTTTCAAGATGCAACTTATTCAACAGTGCCCTTTAAGGATGGCATGCAGGGTGTTCTCAACGAATGCACCAAGCCACTACTAGCTGGGGCAGTCAACTCCTCCCAGTCCAGCATGGTGGTGGGAAAGTATTAGAAACTGTTATCTTTGCCAGCTATGTGGTCTATCAGCCAACTGTGCCAGGGCCCATTTCATAGCTTCCAGGACACCTGCACCACTGGCCTTCAGTCAGCTTGGGCAGTGAGAATTATAACAAATTGTAGGTTGAAATGTGTACAGGAAAGAAGCAGACAGTTGTGCACTCAAACCTATAGGTACAGAAAGTAGTACTTGCTATGTGGGGTTGGCACATTGTATAACTCTGAAGCAATTCATTTATTTTACTTTTTAGTAATTTTTTAATAAACCCTTTAGTAGCAGTTATGCTTTCCTTACCAAAAAAGTGCCCTTTTTAAGAAAAAATGAATTACCAGATTTCCATTTTTCAAGAAAGTTGATACTGAATGTGTACCCTGTCGATATTAACCATTCACATGTGGGCCATAACAGTGTCACTGACCATAAGAAAACCCAAAGAAATACATCTGTTGCAGAGCATTGGCATCTATCCTAATCATTCCAGAGAAGAGAGTTTAACACATGTGGCACTTTTACATAATGTTTTTTGAAGAATGGCTTTTCATTTAGGTCAAATAACTGTTGTTCTAAGTTAATTTCACTCATTTTGGAGTTTAAGTTTTCTTATATACAAGTAAAAACTGTAGTTGTACTTGTTAATATCTTGGCTCCATTAGCAAGAGAATTTTACAAACAATTGCAATCATACCAGTTTTATATCAGTGTCATCTTAGATACATAAGTAGAAAATTAAATTAATTTCAATAATTTTTCCATTTTTTTCTCTCTCATCCAAATCATGAGATCAAAGGAAAGCTTTCAGAAGTTTATTCTGTCTAAGGGAACACATCTGATGTTATTGTACTTGCAATTGTAATTCCAATCCAAAAATTCAACATTTATGGACAAGTTATTTAGTTTTGCAATGATAATATATTAAGTTTTTGTGGAGTACAGTGTTTTAATAAAACTAACACTTCTAATACTAAATTTCGAAAAGTGAAGCAGAAATATTCTTGGAATTGAGTATGAGTAATATATACATGTATGTATGCACATATGTATATGCATACATACATATCTCACTATAATATTTTTGCAACAAAGCTTCAAAAAAATACATCAGTTTGGCAAGAACATACTTGCTCTCTTTGCTGCCTGCCTCTCATCAGCTGAATTTTAACAATGTCCCAGGCTTTGAAAAACTAATTTGTATCTTCCTAACTATTCATTATTGAAAGTACGATTCCTTTACATTTGTCTGCATTTTTCCCCCAGAACCAGTTGGAAATCTTTAATAAAAGCTTTCAATTAATGGAACACCAAAAGCATCAGCATTTGAAGCTTTTAGAGAATTGGAATTAAAGAACGAGGCCTGAAAGTGAGAAGATACTGTAATATATTCTCACAAAAGCAAGCAGGGACTGAAAAATGTATGTGATGAGGGCCCAATGGTCCACAAAATTTAATTTTTAAATTCTGTAATTCTGATTTAGAATAGCTCTACTATGGAAAGAATTTTTTTTTCTGTAACTTCTGTACTTAATTGGAAAAATATTATGTTGTGGCACAATGGAATGACATTGAGATGGTTTATAATATTGCATCATTTAAATTTGGCAAAACATTCAAAAGAATCATTAATAGAGACAATTTATATGGAGAGCCTGGTCTTGTTAGCATAGTTGTTAAAGACCTCTGAATTGAGGCAGAGTGACAGTTCCTTTGAAAGTATTATGGCTGAAATATTTATGCACTACATTAAAAAATAGAATTGATAATATTCCCTATTTGGTAGGACCTGCTCTGAGCATGTCATACGATCTCAAAGGGTGTTTTTAAAAGTCAAAACTAGAGTGGTCTTCACAGAAGAGTCTTTTGAAGGTGCCAACAATCTCAAGTTGTACAAAATTTAACTTCAAAGAAGACTGCAGGCAATTTCCTAACAAAAAATTAAATGCTGAGGTCATATTGAAAGCATATACTTTTAGAAAAACACTAGAGATGAAATAAAAAATGTACAGTTATGAAACTGAACAAAGTTTGTAAATATATGCCAAGACCAATTATTGATTATATTACTTTTAAAGGTTCATAAACTTAACAGAAATTATTCTATTTTGCTTTAATATACACAGACCTTTCTTTTTTTATAAAGAATTTTGTTTTTTGGAAATAGTTTCTGAATAAAGTGATTCTGTAGATCCATTAATATAAGAAAACTAGTTTTTCAATAAGCAATTATTAAAAAAAATAAATTTAATTATCTGCAACACCTATTTTCACTCTCAAAATGGACTTGGTTTAAATAATAAATTATATGGATGTTTTATTCATTCATAGCTTTGGTGAATCTTTAGGCTTGAAACATGGCAGGATTCATCATGTCAGGTCAGATTGTAAAGGGATTGCTGTCTCAGAGACTCTTCCCCTGGGGTTCCTTCACCCATCCAGCATGGTCCTCAGGCTAGTTGTGCCTTAGCCAGCTTGCTCCACCACACCCTCTTCCAGAATTGAGTAGCCCCACTCCATCCGAGACAGTTGACAGGGTTGGGGCAATACAGATTTTGCAGAGGAGTTTTGGATTTAAGACAACCGACTTTGCAGTCTCTTTTCAGTGCCTGAAGCTATCATAAGTGAAGCCAGGGAGCATTTGGTCGCCATGTGTTTCATACTTTGGACTTGAGAGTCAATAGACAGAGAGAAAAAGAAGAAAGAAGATGCAAAATGAGAGGCAGAATAAGATTTAATTTCCCGGGTGCAGTTTTTCCTGAGGCTTCCCTTAGTTCCACCTGTCGCCTGAACATTTTTATAGTAAATTAACCTTTTGCTTTTGTGAATTCAAGTTTAATTGCTATCAATTGCAGCCAGAGTCATTTCTTATCCTCCTGAGTTTATAGTAAATTAAGAATAAGACACCAAAGCACATGGATGAAAGCGAATGTCAATTTTATTTCTCCTAAGCTGATTGGACAACCTGGTTTTACATCTCCATCTAAGAGGATGCACTATCACTTCCTGCCACCTCCTTCATTCTTCTGCAGCCCACCTAAAGGGCGGGCGGGGTTGGCATAACAGGCCTAGTCTCTCATCTGGTTGAGGTGTAAGCATAGGAAAAAAGCAAATTCCTAATGTTTGAAGTCTTTTAATATATTAGTTCCATCCCACCCAGAAATATGGACCAATCAGCTAACTTACTCCTGCAACAAGGATTCAATAATGGGTAGAGTAGGAGGTCAGAGTTGCTCTACTGGAATTTCTCTTCAGATGGAAACACAAGGCCACGCACCCCACCATAAATCTAAACCTAAACTCTCAAGATTAATGAATGCCAGCCAGCGTTCAGATGGTCAAGTAGAGAGCGTGGGCCTGGGGTAAGGCAGAGGAGTGAATCCAGCCAGTCCCTAGTGCACCACTTGTCATAACAGCCGTTTTCTGTGTACGATTCTGTGAGCCCCTCCTCGTGTTTTTGTTTCTAGAATCTCCCACCACTGCCTGAAGCTTTCTAATGTATCATTCTACAGATAGCTTTTCCAAATGGTCAGCTAGAGTTCTTAATACCTGTTGATAACATTACTAATAATGCTTTGGACCTGGGAAGGGTCTGTTTTTGGATGGACAGAGCAGATTTAGCTAGGAGATGTGGCAACAAGTGAACAAAGCCTTCATGCAGTGGTTAGTCACTTAGGCATTTGTGAAAATCGCTTTTGAAAAATTCCTCTGAAAGTTTGGGAACAATATGATAGCAGGAGAAATCTGACTATAACAATAAATCTTTGGTGTTGCTCTTGGCAATTCGGAGCTTTCAACATGGAGAGGCTAAAAAGCTAACTATATATTTAAAGACTGCCCCTCTTTCCTGGATGTGTATCTACTGTAAGTGGCTTTGATTTTTCAACCCAGCATTACTTTTTTCCAGCTTTACACATTGGAGTGCACACACACTGCTGTTTGGCGTTTCAGATCTTTCTAAAAACTGATTCACACAGACACCTGACCTCTCCAGCCTTTTTCTGCCACCTACCTTCTCTGTGAATACAGTGCTTGCAGACTTTCAAAGACAGAGGTTTCAGAACTTGGCAGCCAAACATTGATGGCACCTAACACATTAGCAGTGTGGTTGACAATAGCAGTTACTTGCCTCTGCTTTTCCTGACTAGCTTTCCTGTTAATGTGGTCATACTGGCTAACACTGACTTAGAAACTGGACACATAACTGAAATGTTTATGTTCAAAATCCACTTGGGGTTTGAGGCATTATTTCTTGCCTATATAGTACCAATTCATAAAAAAGAAGTTGTTTTTTTTTAAGGCTGACATTTTGCTCTTTTTGACTTAAAATGGCTAAAAATGAGTTTGAAGCATATTCCTTTTCATCTCTTCTTCCAGTTATTAATATTTAGTACTTTCATTTATGTTTGGAAAAGCAATTAGAAGTGAAAGGTACCAGACAAGAGTGAGCAATTTGGTAGGTTGGGGTGGAATATGTGGGGGAAGGAGGGTCTCGAGATGGTTTTAAGAGAATATGATAATACCTTTCAAGAGAGGCTGAGGTTATAATTGGAGCTTACTTCTCAAAGCACGATCATTTTCCAGTGGCTGGCCTGGCAGTCCGTGATCTCTGCGATCACGAAGCAGGTCGGGCTCCGAGGGCGGTGCTGGCACATCGTGATGACATGTGGAGAGAAGACCAAACAGAGCAGAGGAACAGAGAAGGAAGACAAAACCAGGGAGAACATATTTTAGCTTTTTTTTCTTAGGGATTTTACAGTAAGATTTGTTATTTTTTTGAAAGTACAGCAGTTCCCAGAACAGTATATTTATAAACATTCAGTCTGTTAGAGCCCTGACCATCCAAATGGGTATCTGAGGCTGGACAGACATGCCCAGACTATGCTCCTCCAGAGTTGTTGCCTTTTTCTTCCCAAATCCACACTATCTGGTAAGCAAGTTCTGGTTTTTCTTATATAGATATGGAAAGTGAAGAAGTCATTAGGTTTTATTAAAGGAGGATATACTTCTGTATCTCACAATCAGTTATTTTTTAGTTCCTCTCCTTACTCCCTAGCACTGCAATGCATATTCCATATCCCAATGGGGACTTATAAACTGCTTGAGGAGATAACGGGCAAAAATATAAAGTACCGTGAAAACAGGTAAGTGTGTGATATAAACCGTAACTGCCATGTACAAGGAGACAGGAGCCTTTTTGCCTTGAGTTTAGGTGGTCCATGTTTTGAGATGTGGTATCACTTAGGAAACCATGTCTAAGAGAGAATCATCCCCCAAGTGAATTCCTCTCAGCAGGATCTCTCTTATAGTCTTTAGCCTAACTTATTTTTTTTTTTTTTGTTACCATTTGAATCTATAAGGTGAGCAGATATTCAGCAAGAAATGAGCTGGAAGTGAGTGAGTATTTGGCAGCACAGATTGAATGGTGGACAGAATGTGGAGTGCCCAGTGGGGAATCTGTGGGCCATGAGGAGGTCCCCTGCAGAATATGGGAGCAGAGCCTGTGGGAGGGAGGAGAGCTCAGAGAGTGTGAGCAGTGCTGGAGGCAGCTGAGGCAAAAGGGAGACAGACATCCGACTTGAGCCCTGGAGGGTAAAATTAGGAAATTGGCTTTGGTGGCAGTTAAGAGCATGTAGGTCCTTGGGCATGGGTTTAAGAGGATTCAGTAAGTGATCAGAGGATCAGCCAGGCAGCAGTGTGCAGGATGAGGAGAGGGAAGGTATCCCAAACCATGAAGCAAGAGAGCTTGAATCACAGTGCTATCATTGGAAATAAGAGGGCATTATGAAATTAACAAGTCTTTTAGAGGAACAATTGGCAGTTCCACTTCCTTCAGCCTTCCTTAGCATGGAACTCCAGAACAACCCATGATTTCAGCTGGATCTCTGTCCGGTAAATGGTTTCTAGCTCACATGATGTAGCTGATGAAAATTCACAAAGAAATTTTAGTAAGCATATTGGCGAAATGAGCTAATTGTGACAGAACAAATGTGGTTCTGTTTTTCACTGTTTGTTTGTTTGTTTGTTTATTTATTATTTTAAATACTAGAGGCCTGGTGCACGGATTCCTGCACTGGTGAGGTCCCTCGGCCTGGCCTGTGGGGATTGGGCTGAAACCAGCTCTCCGACATTCCTTGAGGGGTCCCGGATTGCGAGAGGGTGCAGGCTAGGCCGAGGGTCCCCACTGCTGCATGATAGGGGCCGGGGAGGGACTGCAGGAGGGCTCCAGGGCGTGTCCGGCCATCTCGCCAAGGCCCAATCAGCCAGACCACAGCAGCAAGCTAACCTACCAGTTGGAGCGTCTGCCCCCTGGTGGTCAGTGCACATCATAGCGACTGGTCGAACTGTCAGACACTTAGCTTATTAGGCTTTTATTATATAGGATATTCTTATTAATTTCAGAGAGGAAGGGAGAGAGAGAGACAGGAACAGCAGTGATGAAAGAGAATCATTGATTGGCTGCCTCCTGCACACCCACCACTGTGGATAGAGCCTGCAACCCCAGCATTATGCCCTTAACCGGAATCGAACCCAGGACCCTTCAGTTCACAGGCCAATGCTCTATCCACTGAGCCAACCAGTTAGGGCAGTTTTTACAATTTAGATGGAGCTCAGAAAATGGGGGACAGACTCCAAAGGTGCAGGTACATGGAAAGTGGGTTCTTAAGGATCTGGTGAGGGGTTCTTATGGCATCTAAGGGACTTACTTTCCCAGGGAGTAGATGATGAGTGAGGAAAGATGTCAGGAGGGTAATACATCAAGCTTGCTGCTGGAGCTGTGAAGTAATGGGACATAAGGAGGGTAGGCAGAGCATCAGGACTCTTCTCGGGAAGTGGGTGGCTTCTTTATGCGGATACCTGCTGCAGTGTACTGGGGTTTTTTTTTGTGTGTGTGTGTGTTTTTTAAACAGGTTACTGGGAAGAGCATTATCCACAATACAGTATCTATATATACCACCACATAACACATGTATATTCCTCCTCATGTTTATATATACACATAGTTTCTGGTTTATTTTCCTTTTACTCAAAATACATTATGTCTCCCAATTTTGTTTTCTTATTTAATGTGGAGCTCTGATGTTGTTAATTTTAATTTTAGCTTTTTGTGAGGCCTGCCGGTGTCAGGTTGGGGATTACAGAAATTAGATAGATAGATGGCAAGAAGGAGCAGTAATATAGTTTTATAGGAAAGGCAAAGGGTAAGCTGGTTTGTTTCCCGTCCCCTCCCCTTTCTTTTTAAACAAAGATAGTGCCTCATTTTTTTCTTTTTTTTTTTTAAATTCAGTGATTCTATGGTTATCTAAAGAGGGAAACATTACTGTTTTCAGGACAGGCAGATGTGGTCACTTTGGGGTGGACTCACAGGGTCCCTTTGCCTTTTCCCTGCATGATTCCGTCCTCTCCAGCTTCCTTGCATGAAACCCTCTCAGAGCCATGGAGCTAAAGCAGTTTCTACTTGTTCAGACCTCAAAGAACACTTTCTCTGAACCTCTCTATTAGCATAGCATAGCATAGCCTGTTTTTCCTCCTAGTCTTTAAGCTTCTAAAGTTCCCCAAAGCAGTGTGTATGGGGTCTGACAGAATGAATGGGCGGAATTTGAACTGTTTGAGTGCAGAGCCTGTGTCTTATCTTTGTCATCTCTGTGCCTTGTAGAGAGTCTGGCACATTGATCGGTATCTGCTGAATGAGAAAGTGACTGTGTGGATGGTGAAACAAAGCAATGAGCTAGACTCCATAAGTAATAGGACAGGTTCTGAGCTTCATTCTTGAGTCCTGCCACCATCCTCATGATCTTTTGGAGATTCACTTCCAGGGGATCTGAACTCACAAAAATAATATCCAAATGAAAAATGAGCTACTATTTGTTAATGACTGGGCCAATTCCCTGAACCCTCCCTCCATCTGTGCAGGGCTTTTCTTATAGGCGTGTCTGTGGCTAGAATCCAATATGAGTTTTCCTATTCTCTCTTCTCAGGGCTAGTGAGGGCAGGAGGATCGGAACCAGAGTTTATTTCTTGCACACTCTCCTGAACTCAGAGAGGACTGAAGGTCCCTTCACTCTAAAGGCACAGTGGGCAAGAGGCAAGGAGGTGAATGTGTTTCCCGTGCCCGTGCCAAATTGGCTAGACTTGCTGGTCAAAGCCAGTAATTAAGAGGAATGGAAGCAATAACAAGAAAGAATAATAGATGCCAAATAATGTGTTACATGAGCAGGATTTAAGAAATCTTGAGATTTTCTTGTAGGTGAGAATGAGAAAAACAAAAGCAGTTGTGCTTGTGAGGAATAACCTATAAATTATACTTAAATAACTTTCCAAATATAAATCATGAAACTACATAAAACCATTTTGATTTCATTATGCTAGTATAATAAATTTTAATTTTCAGGTACATATGCCCAAAGGCCTCAAGACTCTTAAATACAAAATAATCAAAAAACTAATTAATTACAAATGGGCAACTTTCTCAAATAACTCTAAGAACAGTACAATTAAGAAATAATACCCACGCGCTGCTGTTGAGCCCCCGCTGTGCCTGCGGGTGGTGTGGGTTCAGACTGCAGCACCAGAGCACATGCTTGTGCATAACTGGGGCCGTCTGCTCCCCACCAGTGGCCTTTTTAGCCCTGAGCTACATGGTGAGGGGTGGGGATTGGGTTAAAAAAGAAAGAAAGAATACCCTATCTACAAAATGGAATAAAAGTGCTCAATATACAAGAAACTTAATTACAAGTATTAGAAATCAAAAAGAAAAACAGAAGAGTCTCATTTCCTAGGCTAGGTAATATCTCCAAATGTATTTGGGGGAAAACTGAAGATAAGGGTCATTACAGAGGCCTATGGCCCTAAGTGGGCCTTTTCTCTATCTTCCTTATTAAATTCATCCTCTTGGGCCTCTTCAGACCATTGAATTTGACTCATACATCTATTATATTAACTATTTCTTCCAGCTATGAGAGGCCTAGAAGTCTGGTAAGCATGCCTCTCATTCCTCTGAATGCCTGCTGGGAACCTTAAATAGACTAGGGGCAGTTCAGGGCTTGTAACATGACACAAGAGACCTCTCTCCATGGGTGCATATTTGTTAATCAGAACAGTTTTGCATATATTGGTTCCACAAGTTTCAAGTCCAACTAAGTGAACAATTGAGCCCTCTATGAGGAAATCTTAAGAGACTTAAGCAAAATGCTTTGCTATAATCTAAATATGCTTTATCTATGGCATTTTTTGGCTTACCCACATAGTAATGCAACCATAAGAGACAATAATAATGGGATATTAGTCAACACTCCTAGTTTCAAGCATCAGAAACCCAACTAAAGCAGAAAAAGGGACTTCAATTGCTTACATAAATAGGAGGTCCATGGGGTGGGCTGGCTTCTGATACAGCGGGATCCAGGTCACACAGCTTATTAGAGGTAGAATCAGTACTAGAATTCACTTCAGGTCCTCTGACTCCCAGGGCAATTCTGTTTCCATCATGTGGTGCTACCTTTACAGTACCTCAATCAATATCTGCTGAATTAAAATCAAAATGAAAAAAGAAGGGCATGTCCCCTCCCAGGGTTGCTCTCATAGGTTATTCTGATTTTACCTCTCAAGACCTGCATAGTTCATGTTCCTGAAGGAAACAGCAAAGGCTTTTGGGATTCCTTATGAAAGGGAAAACCATTGCTCTCTACTTGCTTGTATTCCACTTTGTGTCCTAAGCTAAGGGAGATGATTTGTCCATCAATTATTTGTCCATTCCAAAAACACTACTTAGCATTTCCTAGGTTGCAGATGCTGTGCTAGGCATTTGGAATGCAATGTGATGAAGATGTTGAGAATTGGAGACAAATGACAATTCAAACAGAAGGCCTAGTAAGCATACAAACATGAATACCTTTATTTGTTCATTCTTGTAATCAATATATATGTATTAAGCATGTAGTAAGTGCTAGGGACCATGTTAGGTGTCATTGGTAGGCATAAAAAAGTAGAACATATGTAGGAAACTGCAAATAGTTTAATATAGCAGAAGTTCAAGGTACATGGGAGAATATGGGAACCAAGGGAAATCACCAGATACATTGGGGAAACTCTAGACATATTTGACATGAGAGCATGACGATCTGATTTTCATTCTAGGAGCTCCAGTTGTAGGTGTGTAGGTTGGGTTGCAAAGGATAGGGACTGGAGGTTGTGGGAATAGTTTCCAGGGGAGAGGGCAGACAGCTGTGCTAGGTAGGCAGTGGTGGTTTGGGTGGAGAGAGGTCAAAATTAGCAAGGCTTAGAACCTCATTTAATGTGAAAAGGATGGGAAGGAAGAGTCTAGATAGATTTGGGGCATTTGGCCAAATGATGAGATCATTAACTGAGATTGGAACTCCGAGAAAAGCATTAGAATTATGTTCATGTTGTGTTCATATTACCTGGAGTAGTTCCTGGCCTATAGTAAGGGCTCAATTAACAATTTTTGAGTGAATAACTGATACAGCAAGGTTAATAGAAATTTATGTGGAAGTATTGGAAAGGGAATGCATCCTATCCTAATCCAAGAGGGTCACGGAAGGCATCCTGAAAGGTGATTTTTAGCCTAAGGTTGAAGAATGAATGGGACTTAGCTAGGGAAGAGCTGTGTAATGTGTTTGTATGTGATTCTGAAATTCCATCCAGGGCTTATCTGTCTTATTTTTTGGTGCTGCAACCCGCTCTACACTTCTGGCTTTTACTATTGAACTTCTGTTCCAGGAACCTCTTCTGTCTGTCTAGGGAGGCGATGGGTTGACTAGGTTGATGCGAATGATAATGATTGTCATAATAACTACTATTCATTAAGTAGTTTGTTGTACCAGTCTATTTCAGCAGACCTCAGCCATAAACAATGAACACTGAGTCCTCAGGACTTATTGCTGTTACTTAAGTTGTCTCTTAGGTGCCAGTGAGGGTCCCTCCAGGTCCCCAGGATGGGGAAGGCTTTAGAAACTGTTACCAATTCTAAGAATCAAGAAGAAATGCTTCTGTGAGGTATATTTTAGATTTTTAAAAACTCTATTGATAAGTCAGATGTGATCATTTCTCTCTTTATTTGGTTATGTGTGTTCTCCCAAGTTACACAGAAGTTATGAGGATGCTTACAGGAAAACACACCCTACACTAAAACAAACAAACAGGAAAGCACCCATAAAAATAGAAATGAGGGAAAGGGGAAAATATTAGGTAAAGTGAATCTATGAATGTCCCAGATATATTTTGATGTTTAGAAAATTCTGTGTATTGCAAATTCTAATGCATTCAGCCATATTCTTAAATGAAGCACAAGTAATCTGCAGTCTGCCAACCATTTAGTTAAAACAAGTTGTGTGAATTATAATAAAATTCTTTCCAACCAAGTACACATTTTTAATGCAAGGAAATGTACTTCAGGGGATATTAACATGACCAAAATCCTGATAATCTCAGAGATGTGGATAGCCTTGCCTTGCATAGTTACTCTGTAATAATAATTGGGAATTATCTAGTTTAATTCATTACTTAGAAAAGCATAGCAGCATTTACAACTCTAAGCATCTATGATAATCTCTTCTATATGTCTAAAGTTTTTCTGTATGAATTTAAAATTCAGACATTCAGGAAACTCATGCCACAGTTGGCTGACACTCTTCTGGCTGAAACACAGGGCAATCATGCTTTCAGTTTGCAAAATAACTATCACCGTGAGCAGCTCTGCCTTTTAAAAAAATTAGTATTTTTTTCTAAAATTCTGATGTTAACTAACTCTTTCCAGATGCTTCAATGCAATCTTATACTGACATCCTTATATGCACAGTCAGAAGATTCATTAATTCTCCCCCAAATGGCATCTGCGGCCTTTAATTAATGATATATTGTAATACATGTATAGATAGGGAAATGATTACGACTAGTAGAATTCATAAGAG